AAAAAGGGGGGGGGGGGGGGGGGAGGGAGACAGGAGCCAAGTTATTAGAGAAGCGTACCACTTAGAGCACTGAAACATTAACTATCCACTTCTGCTATTGATAAGCACAATTATCAAGCATATAAGTTAACGTTCTTAGGCCACTTTTCAATTTAGTATAAATACAGAATGACCCTTTAATATAAGGGTCATTATATAACAAAAATCACCAACAAACCAAAAATACCAGATCTATTCAGGTGCTGAAATCCTAACTCCCACTGAGCTGGAACTACTCCACATCTTGCACGTAAAGTGTTTAGGATATTACATAAGCAAGAACATTAACAAGGGAGAATAAAACATACGGAATAATGGTATTACTAGGTCTCCGCTACCTAAATATATACGGAATAGACTAATACCTACTTTAATATCCCAATCTTCAACTGCAGTCCATGCAATATTTCAGTTACACCATATACATCTGCCAGTAGATGATGCGTTGACACAATCTTTTTGGCATTAAGATGAGAATAGTTTTCTTTCAAAAATGATAATCCACACATGTGTCCATTGTTTAGCCAGTCTTTATCATAAAGATATTTGGCACTCCATCTCTGACCTGAGGTAAGCAATAAACAGACTGAGGGTCACCTAAAACCACAGTGAAATTTTACCTAAAGATAGCGTGCTAGAATTATATGCTGTGCTCTCCTAAACGTCTCCTAACATTCACGAGAAGAGGATTCCAGATCTTGCTATTAATATGTTAAAATTTAATTTTCATGGTTTTAAAAGAAACTCTTTTCACTTATTATGAACATAGCAGTAAACCTGAAGTCTCATGAACCTTCTAAACGGCATTTGAAATGAACAATCAATTCAATTCTGCAATCAAAGCACTAGATAGTATGAATCTAACTGCAAAAGAGAATTTAAATTGGCATTTTTAGAGACTTTTTTTGTTTAACTGTTGCAGCTTACTTAAGAAATAACTAAGCATGAGTTAGAGACTATTAGAGACTGAATTTTACATGGATGCATCAAAAATATTTGGTTTCTTTTGAAAAAGCAGTAAATATTTGGCTTCAATACTGAAGTCAATATCTATTTACTAGAAGGCCTTCATGAAGGGTAAACATCTCAAGATTATCCTACAGCAGAGTTCTTACATTCTCCTTTGAGGTATCTTACATCCGACATTTACGGAATATTTAAGTGCGTGGTAAGACCCTTAGGTCTACATTGCTGCGGCAATGTCTACAGTCTTATCCAACAAGCATGAATGATATTTAGATAATGCATTTACAGTAATTTAACACTTATGAAAGAAAGAAAAGAAGCAACTTATAATGCTGATTGTGCTAATATTATGGTTTACAGTGAGGAACCCAGACAAACAGACCACCTAAGACTGCAGTATCTAACACTCAATTTTATATCAGACTATCATCATATACAGAACAAAGAATGGGTTGATGGAAGCCCTTCATACCTTTCAGGAGAATACCCTATCTCCTTTCTGCCCATTATCCCAATACACTTTAAAATACTGACATTGTGAATGACCTTTTTCTCCTGACACAGAAAGAAAAGAAGTAATGGTTAGGAAGGGAGAGAAGATAAAAATTAGGGACACAGTCTCTGAATAGCAGGAGATAATGAAGTACCTAGCACAGTGCAGGAAAAGAACACAAAACAAATTAGTTGTTTTTAATAAGAAAAAGCTTGACTGCTCAAGGAGTACAACGCACGAGGAATTACCAAACGAGACTTTATACCATAAATCAAGCCTGATATGGGACAAATGGAAAATTCATCTGTTCTGCTCCTTCCTATATTTTCCTCTCAGAAATATTTACTGAAACCAGTGCTATTCTATACTTCTACAAACTAGCTTCAGATTTGATTTCTTAAATTCTGAAGAAAAGTAAATTTGGTGTCCTCTTGAAAAAGTCAGATTCTTGGAAAAAAGTCACCAGAAGACATGCATGTGCATTTGTATCACTTGTCAGAAGGAATATGAAAAACTTTCTTCCAAATTATATAGTTTTCCTCCAAATAATTGTTAAGAAAAGTGGTTTCAAGGACAGCTTTCTTTGTTTGTTTTAAATCAACAACCTCTTTATCAAATGTATTCAGCTTATAACTAAACAGACTTAATTCTAATTCTTACTACTTAAAACTTATCCTGACAATCTTAAGATGTGTTGTTTGCGCAATATTATTTTCCATAGTAAGCGCCGGATTTTTGCATAAACTTTACATATGCAATTCTGCCTTTAATTATATAATTCCAGACAAAAGTGAACATTATCAAATTATAATATGAAATGAGAATCACAGAATTTTGTATACTATACCAATGAGTCTTAAAAAAATTTAAATGAACAGATATGATTGCAAGTACATGCAGAACAGAGATTGCTGAGCAAGAACTTGTTCTGTCTAGAATGACTTTTCAGAGTACAATGACATTAAAATCCCTATAGGTTTAGGGGAATTAAGCTTGAACAAGTAAACTCAGGGTAATTAAAATTCTGAAGTAAGATTTAGCACATTTGAACTAGATGTACCAACCAGAAAAGTAAGCTCTGCTCAGAGCCAAATTTAGAAACATTTGCCCCAAAGTAGTGTAACATACAACACAAAGCAGATAAAGTTTTAACAAGTAGAAGTAATGCATAATATCTCCGCTTAAAATCCCCACACAGATAGCAGCAGATAAAGATGGTTTATTCATACCTGGTGGATCTCTGCAGATATAACAGATGTACTGCTCTGGAATGCTGTCCTCTAACAACCCCATGCATACACTGTGTTGCCAACACAAGCATTCTTCACACTGATACCAAAAAAAAAAAAAAACAAAAAAAAGCAAAAACTAAAACTAAGATAAGTAGATTTACAAATAAGAAGCTATATCTTGTATCATCAAAATGCAAGGAACAGCAGTTTAGCTTAAATAGCTGGTTTGAGTAAGATTATTTTATTGGGCAATTGGTGTTTGGGTAGGCAAAGACATAAAGCTAAGAAGTAGCTTAACTCTAGTTCTGAAAGTCACCTCAACCACAAGTTCCAGACTGGAGGAAAAAAAAACAGAGGATGAAGATGGATAATATTTAATAATATTTTATTATAACATTCAATATTTTAGCACCTATATATTTAGAAATGAAACATAAGACAGAAGAATAATATTACAGTAAAGTAGAAAGATAATGTAATACATTACAGCATAACAGTGAAAAGTAGAAAACTCTTCAGTTTAATTATTTATATTTACAAAGCATCTCTCCAGTGCGCTAGAAAGATGTGTTTTTAATACCGCACCAATGGAAAATCTAAAAAGAAAAAGAAAATGAAGAGAAAATGAAAGAGTAGAAATAAGAGTATAGGAGAGCAAAATAGAAGTGGTAAGACATGAGGGTCTTGAAATAGTAAACTGGTTGATCTTGATGAGACAAGGAAGGAAGAGGAGGTAAGTGATCAACATTAGGCTGTCACTGGACTTTAGAAATGGGCAGGAAACTAGCACTAACGAGTACTCTTTTCCTTTCCATTCTTATCTCAGTGTTTGCCCACATTTTAAATACCTGTTTTTACCGAAAGTCTCTCCTCTTTGCTGATGTGCATTTTGAGCATCAATCTACCCAAAACACAGAAGCCACCTCTCCTCTTGTCATACCACTACAGCTACAATTTTCTCTCCTCTCTACAAAGATTTCTACATCAGTCCATTTTTCCATATTATTACCATTGCTGGCACTCCTGCTTAATTCTTCCAATACACCACTGCATTCCAGTAATGCTTTCCCAGAGTCAGTCGTTTTATCCTTCTTTTTCAGGTCTTTCTGTCATTTCCAAAAGACTTTTCCAGGCTATTAACCCATGACAGCCATTCTTGCCTCATTCAGTTCTCAGTTAAAAAGGCTTCATATTTTCAACAGAACCTGTACTACATCAATAGTTAAATACAAACCTGTTCTTTGAGTGCAGAAAAGCACATGACATTCCTGATCTTTTTAAAGTCAGCGACAGCTCAGTTCTTCCTCACTGCTGAGAGCATCCAATCTAAGTTCTACATTATGAATTCTTAGAGACAGGGACTTTACGTTATTCACTATGAGACAGGAATTACTCCCCTTAGTGTAGCATAAGCAGCAGTAGCTGCAACCTATCTACAGCTGAAAATGCTGTGCAGACACAAGTGGTGTTAAGTGGTAATAGTTCTCTCCCTTTTTCTATACCAAATTAAGACTTAAATTCTTAGCAGTTCCTAACACGAGCTAGTAAATTCCCGTTTGAGAACCATCACTCTAAAGACACGCATCAGATACTGACAATATTAATATTTGCATGGCAGAGACCTACATCAAGCTTCACTAAGCTAGAGATGATCATCTTGGATGCAGCCAAAGTGAACTTATAGTGAGCAGAATAGTCTCTACAACTGGCACTGCAAAACACAAGGACCATATCTATTACAGCAGAAGTGCTGGTAGTCTCAGCATCATCTATGGATATAAATACTTTGTGCATAGAAAAGCATATTATTTTTCCAACTTTACCAGCCAGCTATATCGAGAAAAAGTTACCTTTCCTTATAAGCCTGTTTCGCGCATTGAATTGTTAGAGGAAATGTATTAACTGCACCCTAGAGAAACAGTTCTGCATACACAGGATGGAGTCACACCAAGTGCAGAATAAAGGAATATGTTGTTATTATTGTTCACCCTGTATTTACAGCTCTCTACAGAACTCCAGGCTCCAACATTATCAAAACGGCACCCTTCACAATCACAAAATTCACACAGAAAATATAAGGGAACAAGAAATCTTTACCTGAATCATAAAGCCATTTTCTTCATCCAGTTCACAGATGCATCTTACAATTTCATTGAGAGCATCATCTTCATCCTGAGACTCTTCAAAATTAGTTGAATCAAAATCCTGATTGTATTCATCACCACTAAGTAACAAACTCTCTGTGGAAGAATCATCCAAGAACTCCACATCTGAAAGGTCTAGTAAAAACAAATCCATGTGACATTGTGTGTGTGTAAAGAGGTGCAATACCTTACAGAAATACAGAATTTTTGGCAGTGAAAAATGTTAAATTGCACATAGCCAAATCACTCAAAAACGCACTGCTAGTAGGTTAGGTTGCTTGATGAACTCTGCTAAAAGCCTTTAATACAATGTGATCACCTCAAAAGCAGAGGTAGCAACAATTAATCAAAGCAAATACAATGCAGAACAGCTTGAAGAGCGTAAGCATTTTGATTTAAACAGATGAAACAAATCAGCTGCAACCCCAAACACAAACCCAATTTTTTCCTTTAAGATTCTCACTCTTAAGGAATTAAACCTCCAAACTGAAAGTTTCAGTTCAGTTAACCTACTTTCTCCACTAAGGTCAACAGATAAGATAGCTCTTGGATACTGGTACGATGTATTCTTCTCTGAGAACATGCTGCGCAAAGTCAGGGAGCTCCCCGAGGACCGTGTTAACGGAGAGGAGCATCTGTCCAAGAATTCAACAGAACTGTCTTCATAATCCGAATAATCTGAAAAACGAACACCAAAAGATTATCTGCCATTAAAGTAGTTAACAGAAAATTGTCACAAAAACAAGAAATAACAAACATGTACGAAAACCACATTATGCTGAAAAGTAAAGAATATCAACATTTAGGTATTAGGATGATGAAACTGTGCAAGTATGAAGTGGTAGAAGTGCTTCATAAGTTCTTGTAAAATTCTTTATTTAACGTTTTATCACTGTGTGAGAAAAGATGATCTCATAAACTCATTGTTGCAATTCATCCCGCGTCACTTACCATCTTTAGATATGCTCTTGTTCCTCAGGTCTACTTGTAGCAGAATGCTACAAATGCTACCCTTACCTGCAGACTCTGCTAGTTGAAACGCTCCCAAGAAAAAAGGTTGCAAGTATGTTCTTATCATAGCGGCTGGAGAGTGTTCCAGGCAAGCCCAGCAGTAATTAGATTAGCTATTCATTTACGCCTCTTATAAAGTTTCACTTTGGAATTCAACGACTAATCAGGTTTCTGTGAATTTTCATTCTGTGAAAGCATTCCTGTTACCACATGCATCTACAGCTCTTACAATGGGTTCCACAACATGCTTCTCTCCAAAGTTCCTTCCATAAAGTCATTGTCAACATTTACTTTTTCTTTCTGTCAAGAAAAGAATCAATCTACTGCACGACTTCTAAGCAAACTAGCTGTAGAGAAGTCAGAATCAGAGATGATAAACTGCAATGTTCTAAAACACTAATTGTGTCCACTACTTTGTGTTGTACCGTTATCAAACTCAATGAATTAGACTAGTATTAACAACAGAAGATACCTAACCTTCTACTTAAGAGTTTGATATGAACAGTCAGTCATGCATATACTCACAGCACTGAGGGATAAGGTGGTGGGTTTTTTTTTTTTTTTAAGCCTTACACAAAATTCACTGCAGCACACAGTTCTGCCTCTCCCTCTTCTTCCCCAAGACGCCTCAATTTATGATTCAAATGGGACAGAGTACGTCTCACTCT